TTTAGTGGCTAATAAAAATATCGAGTGTTTTAAGTAGGCATTGATGCCGTACTTATATTATCATAAATTAATTAAATACAATTTTTGTTGGTTAAAGGCGAGAGTAAATAGGTATTATATGATTTAAATCGTAGACTTTATTAGCACTTTCCATTTGGTGAGATAAAAGTCGAATGTTACTTATCCATAAAAAAATTGTTTTTGTTTCTGGTTTTAAACTTTTAATAAAAGTACTTATCGTTCTACATTTGATTCCAGGGTGGCATGTACGTGTTCCAAATCCTCGATTCCTACGCGGTCTCCGGTTTCTGTCTACTGTTCCTGATCTTCTTCGAATGTGTTTCCATCTCGTGGGCCTTTGGGGTGAACCGCTTCTACGATGGCATCAAGGAAATGATTGGCTACTACCCAACTATATGGTGGAAGTTCTGCTGGGTTGGATTCACTCCTGCTATTTGTATTGTAAGTTTAAGTTACAACCTAATCCAGTAACTGAATTTAATGTTCAGGTGCTATAGGTCAAAATTATATATATATAGAATTACATTCGATCTCTAAAATGATAATCGAACTGAACCTAAAGTAAAATCACATTGTTAGAAAGTATTCTTTTTTCTTTGATAGGATTTAGGACGAACATATGCTGTTTATTTATTTGTCGTGCGTCACTAACGGTTTTTTCCTTTATTGTGCAGAGCGTGTTCATCTTCAACCTGGTGCAATGGACTCCAATCAAATACATGAACTATGAGTATCCCTGGTGGTCACACGCCTTTGGTTGGTTTACTGCACTCTCTTCTATGCTCTGCATTCCTGGATATATGATTTACTTGTGGCATGTCACTCCCGGGACGAGACAGGAGGTTTGTACACTTTTTGATTTTCATTATGTTGTTGGTTTCACTGAACAATCATTCATATTCTGGTTTTTGTTTATTACGTGAAGACGTATCTGCTCTTTCTTCTCCTTATCTGACGTATACGTCAAATACGTCATTACGTTTAAATTTATTAAATATCGTCATCATTGCTGTTGACTCTAAACCAAATTTAGTTGCACAATCGGGAAGTAACTTTTTTCTTCTTCATTATTTTTTTCTTTATTTTTATTCTTTATTCTTCTTATAGTTTCGGTAATATTTTCAGTGTGCTTGATGTTCACCATCTTTTTCGTTGTGAATCATCTTTTTCGTTCTCTACATATCATCGACACCACCGACTCGTGTTCCTTTCTTTACGTGCATAATTTCTATAAGTTACAGTAAGTACCTTTTATTTTTCCATTTCTTGTTTCGATTTATCTAATTTCTTTGGAAATTCTATATACACATTGTCATATTTTATATTGTTAACATTTATCCTGATCCTACATTCTTTTACTTCATTTAACAAAACTGTTTCAGAAATTCAACACAATAGTGCGTATCCCAGAGGACGTACCAACGCTCCGCACCAAGATGCAGGCTGAGGAACTAGCAAAACACACTAAGGCTTAAAATCTAGACTCGTAGTCTAATACTTAAGACCTAAAAGATCTCAGGAAAATGAGAGATTTCTGAATGACATTGTGTTTTCGGATGTGTCAATTTGATGAACTTATTGTGGTTAATATTTTGCTATATATATTATTATTATAAGTATATATTGCACTAGATTCAGAATTATATATATATTTATGCAAAGGAATAAATTTTAGAAATATATGAAACACTCGCTCAATTTTCTAAAAACTAAGGGGTAAACATGTTTATAGAGCTACTATAAATTATGAGCTGTTACAGATAAATTATTTTATACAAAAACAAATGTATTATTACATTCATTCAAATATAATATTATAATAGAGTTTTAGCAAAATATTAACAACACAATAATAAACAACAGAAGGAACGGCGAAAAAAATTCTAAATCATTCACGCACAACACAACTATATCTATTACTTCTTTGTGCCAATTTTATACGTGCCAAAGATAATATACCAAAGGTTATAAATATATCATGCCAAAGTTATATATTATTAGTAGAATTCACCTATATTTCAAATATATTAAATGATATTGAATTCTATATGTATGCCGTTTTAGTTTAATGGTTTTGTGGGTGCGTTGCGACGCGTTCATGTATGTTTATACTTTAAACTATATTTTAAGATGTGTTATTTTTAGTTGTAAGAAAAATATATCTTGATTATAATATTATTACGATCGTATGTTTGTGGATTTCATTTAATGAAATGTTAATTATCTGTTACTGTTGTCTTCCATAATGGTTAATGCTTTAGATATATGAATATTCAATAATTTATGCAGTTATATTTTTATTTCCTGGCTTTAATACGTACTTGCTTTTCACAGCGGACCTAGGCTGAATGTGTAAGGTGGTACACTCAGAAAAAATCTTAATTGGCTGAAAGCTGATAGAAGTATTTAGTTCGTATAACAAAGTTTTTATTGTCGTGGAACTATAAAGTGCATTTTGTTGTTCCATGACAATAAAACTTTGTAATGGGAATATATCTTGTAGTTCTATGACAATAAAAACTTTGTTATGGAAAGTCATTTTATAGTTCCATGACAATAAATAAAACTTTGTTATGGGAACTATTTTTTTAGTTCCATGATAATAAAAACTTTGTTATGGGTACTAAACACCTCTGTCGGCTGAAAGCCAATAAAGATTTTTTCATATATTTCAGAATTTTATGATTCATATTTCAATGTATAATATTGGTTCAAATTACAAGAATATATTATATAACTGCGTTATCCTTAAAGGAGTTGTATGTTAGAGTAATTGGTGTTTAGATTATACGTAGAATATACATTTTATGTTAGAATAAATATATTATGAAATATATTTATCACGCTACGGGACGCGTTGAATTTTTGAATCTGTATGGTATTTTGAGAATATTATTTATAAGAATATTGTAATCAAATATTATCCAAGTTATTCGAGTATTAAGACATTTATTCTCATTATTATTAATGGAAATGTGGGCCTAACATTTACTTCCTTTACTCTACCAGTATATTTAACTATTAGTTATTATATTATTTCAGTAATTTTAGAAAATATGTTATTAGATTTATGTTTTGGTTCAATGCTTTATTAATATAATGATATATTGAGTTTTTATGATTATTATATTAAAACATGTTTTCAGAATAATATACATGTAGATTGATACGTTTATATGTAAATGTAGGTAAATATATAAATCGAAAAGGGTCGCAATAACGTAACCATTACTTCGATATATGACAATTCTGTGTTCCGAACGAGACCAACCTTATTAAACAATGTATTTTAAAAACAGACTATATACTGTAGATTTTCTAAAGCAACAATACTTAGTAAGTTTTCACAGCAAACAAAGTACTTTTTAGACATTTTCTCTACACTACAGAAAAAATATTTTGGAAAAATTACATCTTATAGAAAATATAGAAAAATATCTTAATATACATATACATTATAAATATAATTTTGTGTATATTAAACTGTAACTTTGTCCTTCTTGAAACTGAGCGTGTTCAATTTAAAATGTAGTGTTTGTGTCTATTTATGACAACGTCAATTTCTAATATAATATATAAAAAAAAACTTAGTGAACATTCGTAGTTGTTTATTAAAATACACATATACTTTAGAAAAAAAATAAGACAATATTTAAGAAATGTATTTAATCATAATTTAAGAACATATTATTTATTCGAAATATTTATGCTTTTTTTTCACAACAGGACGGCCACAGATTTAATTGAAACTTATTATTATACATTATTTTTATTTTATATAACTTTATGTAAACCGTTTCTGCTTATTTATTATAACAAATTATTTTTGAACAATAATTATATTAACAAAGAAATATACTATTTAATTTGTCTTTATGTTATTATAAGTTACAACTTTTATATTTTTGTTCATAATATTTATTTGAATTTGCGCTATCTGTATATCTACAAGATTCGTTGCCTGAAATTAATGTGCTTCCATGTATTTTAAATATATTATGTAGCAAATAGAAATTAGATTTAGATTTTAAGTTTAGTTGCATATTGATGCTGTACTTTATTAAGCCTATTTCACTACATTTTGAAATAATGTTGAAATTTAATAGCTTCTGTGAAAAGAGTAATGCGCATGTCAATTTAAATTATACAATTATTATAAAGTGAAATAGGCTCATTTACTTTAGATTACATTTATAAAACAAATCACCTTTAATTGTATGAATATAAAATGTTCAATGTATGCACGTATGTCAATTTTAATCCATGATATTTCGAAGAGTGAAAGTATAATGATAAACCGAATCACATATCCAGTATTGATATTTAGTAATTTTCTTTAATTAAACGAAGGTTTGTGTAATGTAGTTTAGATCGTAATTTATTTATTTCAATAAATAGTAACTAAAATTAGTTGTTTTATTTATTTAAAGATGGCAATTATTACATCAAGTAAAAGGGCTTTCCATCAAGGGCGGGTTAGTTTTGACAGTTCATAGCGGCCATGTTATTGAGGCTGCTTCTGTCAAATCTGTTCTTTATTTTTCAGTCACTAAAGACAAACCATCGTGGCAAGTTACAGCGTCGTACAACACGTGCAAATGATAAAAAATTATTATCTAAATGGGTGTTTTATTGAGGCAACAATACTGCTCGGGAGCTCCTGAACATTCTCACGAACAGCGGCAAAGTTTTCGGCAGATCTTGCGTTTCTTTGACGTACGGGTGTTGGCTAATGGTTCACTGAATCGGTCGAATCGAAATTGACCAGCAAAAGTTGAATACTGACTGGGGAGAACGACTACGTAAACCGTAAAATGGGTATTATATATTTTTTTATATATAAAGAATACCAATTAGTCACGAGACTAATAATAAATAGCACTCAACTTAGTAAAACTACAGTAAAAATAATTGAGGTTTTGATTATGAATACAAAAGATCGAACACACAGAAAAATTTCGTCGACCCGATGGGACTTGAACCCATGTCCGTGCTGCTCCGTAGCATTTAGTTAGTTAAGCAATATTTACAAAACTTAATGAAGTATAATAAAAATCGTTGACGTGGTAAAAGTGCCATAAAAAAAATTAAAAAAGATGTACTGCAGAATGAAATTTCGTTTTTACACACTACTTTGGGGATAATTTCCTTTACTGAAAAGCTCGTAGTAACTTTCAAATTAAATTTCTCACATAAATTCCGAGAGCATCAGAGACGCGAGGCCGGATTCGAACCCACGGCTACTGCTTGAGAGGCGATAGGTCAAGATCACGGCATTTTCTTTTGAATGAGAGCGTTTACTCACTACCTCCAATTCGTATTCCTAATCCGAGAAATAACGGTCCGAAATGTCACAGGGATAATTTTATATCTAAGTATTAAAGAAGACTCATGTTATAAGTGGCTTATTCTAATATAGTTGATGTAAACACGTCAAATAGGCAAATTATTAATTTAGGAAAGTAAAGTTGCCTGCTTATCGATATTTTACAGGATATATCACGGAGAGTGTGCGATGGAAATACACGATTTATCCAGTTCCACCCCTATTTTGTGGATATTCTAAAGATTCACACGAAGTGTTATGCTTCGTTTTACACTGTAGCGAACGGCTATGAAATTTGAATTCCCTGCCTGCAGACTTGTACTCTGAACGTTATCACTTCGGCCTTTTCAAGGCGAGAGTGAATAGGCATTGTTTAGGCGTGCATGCTCTCTTGGACCTCATCGTCACATTTTATAAAATAATAATAATTTCGGGATAAATTAACAACTTCAGGCTAACACGCTGTTTGTTTCCACTTTTGAATATCGCAGTTTGTAGAAAATTCGATTTTGCACAAGTGTGTCAGTGTTATTTATTTTAACCATTAAACAATTTGAGTCTCGCCTAACCGTTTTAGCACACATCTGAGAATTAAGTGATGTAACCAAACGTTTATATAATACCTTCGTATATTTTGATACTTTAAAAAACACTGTATATATATATATAAGTCGATGTCTTAGGTTTTTGCGACCAAGCAACCAAACCAACCAAATATACAGGACATGTAAAAGAACCCAACACGTCGCTTTGTTGAAACAAAGATACGGTACCTGTAAACAGCCCGACACATTGCTTTGTTTAGTAGAAGTTGAGCTCGTTAGGAAAGAATTCGTCTAGGTGAGTACTGCCACCTTACATATTTCTGCCGCCAAGCAGTAATATGAGCATTACTGCGTTCTGGTTTGGTCGAGTATGGTGAAATTACATTCACATGGGACTAGTCAACTTATGTCTCAGACGGGCGCAGTGACAATACCTTTGTTCTTTGCGATTTAAAGCTCTGAGTAGCACTGCAACTGTTATAGATAGGCGTGTCGCTTACCACCAGGTGTACGACTTGTTAGTCCCGTCAGTTGGCAACATAAAAAAATTAAAAATACAATTATACAGGTTGAAAAAGTAAATATACGTGAAAAAGTTCCTTCATAAAGTTCATAAAGTTTGTCACAGATGGCGCTGACGACAGAAGTGTCGTTTAAACCCAATGGAGTCTAGTCAGATGACTGGACTCGACCCATTGTCTGTTGTCATACGGTGGCCACCGCTCTTACAAATCGAGTCAGTATTTTTGTCTTTGTTTCACAATTCGTACTCTTTACTGTAACTATGTTCGTAAATCGAACTGTAGACGTCTTAATTGAGAAGCAACCATTCTCCCTCCGAGGCCCGCCATCGTTCTTGACATTTTAAATTAAGTTGGCTGGTAACTGTAAAGGTACCTCTCTGAGTGAAGGATAAAACTTACATAGATTTCTCACAGATAGCGCTAAAGCAACAAAGTCGTTAAAAACACACAGGCGTGCGCGATACATCTGTCGCGCACGCTTTGTTCGTCCCGTCATTTGATATTATATAAAAAAAAGTAAAAAAATAATGCAATGTCATGATGGTAAAACATTTCACACCCACCCACTCACATTCATTATAAACTTAATTTTAAATTAAATTATCAAGTCTTACAAAGCACGCTATGATGTAGCCTTAGACGTTTGCCTTGGTGTTAGACAATTAACAAAATTGGTAAATTTTGGCACTATACGGAGGATAATAAATTTTATGACATTATGTCATAACTCACAACCCACAATGAGTTTACCTATATGGCGTGGATTAGGCCTCACACCACACGGTTAAAGCGTTTGCCCACTGCGGCGATTCGCTTCCGTCACGAATCGGAAAATATACAGATGTAGAAACCTCGGACCGACTCGGATGTTGCTTATGCACTGCATCCCATACGAATCTGAAAAAATACGG